TGTAAACGTTTACATATGCGCAGAGGCAGCAGGGATGGTATCCGGCCATTGAAAAGGCAGACTTGAGGTCAGAGAGATAGTCCAGAGACTATGGTACTTCCCTGGCAGGCAGCTGACCCCAGACTGGTCCCCTGTACCACGAAGGAACCCCGCCAGGAGTTTAGATGTGCAGCTCACATGGCTACTGCAGAGGCCACATAATGTGCACGGCTGTGACGGGGCGGGGGGGGGCTATAACTAGAAAATGAGAGGGACAGGGGCTGGAGTGACAGCATAGCGGGGAGAGCTCTTGCCTTGCACACAGTCAACAACCTGGGTTCGACTCCCAGTATCCCATAGGGTCCCCCGAGCACCGCTTAGGAGTAATTCCTGAGTGCATGAGCCAGGAGGAACCTCTGAGCATCGCCGGGTGTGACCCAAAAAGAAAAAAAAGAAAAAAAAAAAAGAAAATGAGAGAGACTGGGCTGCTCCTTTCTCCGCCTCGGACACCACGGGGTTCTGCATCCCTGGGAGAACGCTCGCGGGAACTTCACACACTTGTGTTGGTTCTCAGCCACTCCTGCAGTTCCCCAGCCAAGCTCCCACTGCGTCCTCGGCCCCGCTCCAGCCTCAGCAGCGAGAAGGGGGAGCCCCAGCTGCATGCTGAGTTTGGGAAGAAAAAAATTTAAAAAACCCATTTCGGATTCCCCAGATTGTGCCAAGTACTTCTTTTTCCTAAGAGGGAGGGAAAAAAAAAGAAAGAAAAAGAAAAGGAAAACCAAAGCGCTCCCCTGATTTCTGCAGCCTTGTGAAATGTGATCCCCGTGTGCAGCCAGGAGTGTGTGTGCGTGTGTATGTGCCTGTGTGTGTGTACATGTGTGTGTGCCTGTGTGCACGTGCTTGTGTGTGTGTACGTGTGCATGGGAGCAAGTCACTGAAGGGCAGTTTCTTCACTGACCCCCAGAATCACCTAAGCACCCCCTTGAGCTCCTCCTTGACTTGGGAAAACGGGCTTCTGCCCACAAATCAACAACAGAGCCCCTGACGAGGGGCAGTGGCGAGGTGGGACCTTCACCAGAGATAAGAAGCAAACCAACGGTTACTTCTAACCCGCGAAGAAAGGGGGTGGGTGGCGACATCCGCCCACTGCACCCCATCTCGCCCTGGTCACACAGGCTCCCAGTTTGGGCGTTTTTTTTTTTATGTTGTTGTGTTTTTTTTTCCCCCTGGTGGCAGGGCTGAATCCTGGCTCTGAGTTCAGGATACTCCTGGTGGGGTCGGAGGACGCTGTGGGATGCCGGGGATAAACCCAGACTGGCCGCGTGCAAGGCAAGTTTCGTATTCGCTGTGTTATGGCTTCTGCCCTCACAGATCTCCTGGAGGCACTGAGCGACAGATGCTGGTCCTGCCCAGACCTCTGCTGCCCCCACCACCGCGCTCCCCTGGAGTGTGGCCCTAGTTCCCCCCAGATATACTCCCCCCAACCCCCACCCCAGGCCTGCCCACAGCAGGGTCTGCATCCAGCCAAGCCGAGCCAACATGCTTTTGTCAACTCCTGTTTCTGAACTGCAGGGATGGTCCCCAAAACCCAGGGGAAAGAGGGAAAAAAAATCCTGGTCCTTGGGTCTCCCTGCTACGGAGGAAGAAGCAGCAGTCTCCCCCCCCCCATCATCTCTTCCTGCTCCCTCCCTCCCTCCCTCCCTCCCTCACGCCTTCCTTCCCTCCCTCTCTCCATCCTTCCTTCCTTCCTTCCTTCCTTCCTTCCTTCCTCCCTCCCTCCCTCCCTCCCTCCCTCCCACCCCTCCTTCTGCTATTTTTGTTGTTCTTGTTCTGGCCATACTCCTGACTCTGCACTCAGGAATTACCCCTGGCAGAGCTCCGGGGACCCTATGGGATGCCGGGGATCGAACCCAGGTTGGGCTGTGTGCCAGGCAAACGCCCTCCATGTTATACTATTGCTCCATCCCCTGATCCTACTTTCGTGGGCTAAAGGGTGGCTCTGAACCCAGGGGTCTCCATCCCTGATTTCCAGAGATGTCCCACCATCCTCAGCCCACCCCCAGGCGGTGGGGGCCGTTTGCTGTTGGTCTCCAGGGAGAACAGGCCTTTTCCCCAGCCCAGATGGAAACTTCTTTTCTCCGCTCAAGGCAGCGGGGAAAGGGCCCATGAGCAGGTGAGAAGTCGTGCTCCAGGGCAGGCCTGCCACGTGCCTGGCCCAACTCCCCAGTGTCTGTCTGTTTACCCTGCCTCGGGCACCAACCGCAAGCCCCGTTCTCCTGCCAACACCTGCCAAGCTCTGTACGCGCCTGCCTGGCGCCCTGGCGCCGTTCCTGGGGCCGAGTGCCGGAGCGCCACGCGCGGGCAGTGCCGAACAACAGCACATGGGCCAGGGAGGGTGCCCTCCCATCTCTGCCAACCACGCCCCCCAACATACGGCGCCCCATGCAGAAACACATGTGCACATACATGCAGACATACACACATGTACAGACACACAGAGACACACATTCACACACACGTAGACACACATGTGCATATATACACACATGTGTACAGACACACGTGCATACACAAGCAGACACGAGTGCACACATGTGTGCAGATACAGACATGCACGCACGCAGATACACACATATGCACATGTGCGCGCACACATGTGCGGACATACATACAAACATGTACAGAGACACATGCACACACGCAGACACACATATGCATATATACGCACATGTGTACAGACACATGTGCATATACACACAGACACACACACTCTCACATGCACACACATGTGCAGATACACACATGCGCACACGCAGATACACACGTACACACATGCAGACATACACACACATGTACAGACACAGAGACACACGTGCGCACACATGCACAGACACACACATGTGCACGCACACACACACACATACACACACGGCTGGTCGTGTGCACACCTGGGGGGAATTTCACTGGCCAACACAACACCTGGAAACAACAAAGTCCCGGCAGGGTTAAAAATGAACCCGGAGCCATCCCCAGAACACCTGGTGAGGTCACTCACAGCACGTGACCCCGCCGCTTCCAACCCTGTGCAGTCTCCTGCCTTCTGCCTGCCACCTGCAGCCGTGCCCGTCGCTGCCCAGAGGCCTGGCAGCAAATCCAGTCCAGGCGTGAGGACACCAGGGCAGGGCGGAGAGACAAGGGAGCCTCAGCTCCAAAGACATGACAACTTGGCCCAGGCAGCAGCAGCAGAAGCGGGAACTGGGTTTCTGGGGCTGAGGGCGCAAGCCTCACCTCTCTCCGCCTGCAGCGTGACCTTCCACCAGGGTCTGTCACTCTCTGCCCGGTGAGGCGCAGACCCGCAGGGCTGCTCTGTTTTCGGGGCCTTGCTTTTTGCCCGCTGGAGCGACAGCACAGCGGTAGGGCGTTTGCTTTGCACACAGCCAGCCTGCCAACCCGGGTTAGATTCCTCCGCCCCTCTCGGAGAGCCCGGCAAGCTACCGAGAATATTTCTCCCGCTCGGCAGAGCCTGGCAAGCTCCCTGTGGCGTATTCCATATGCCAAACACAGCAACAAGTCTCAGGATGGAGAAGTTACTGGTGCCCGCTCGAGCAAATTGATGAACAACGGGAGGACAGTGCTCGAGTGCAGTGCTACTTTTGCCCGCAGAGGTTCTCCCTGAGACGGGAGGGAAGGGGGCAAGGGTACCAGCCCTGGACTCCCGCACGGCTGGCCCACCCCCCTCCACGTTGGTCTCTGCCTCAGAGCACAGCCCCCCCTCAGAGCACAGGCCAGAGGGCCGCAGTCACAGGTAAAAGGGAGCAGATCCCAACGGGGGGGGGGGGGCTGGGGGGGCTTCCCTGCAGGACCCAGGAGACGGGGCAGGGACATGGCCAGTGGGGGGGGCAGGAATCCACGATGACCACCAGCCCACCTTTCTGGCTCTGCACACAGAGGGAAGTGGGGGGAGGCGGCTGCCGGGTGCTCCTCTCTGGCAGCTCACCCTGCTTTGCAGTGTCCCCAAAGCCCAAATTTGGAATCATTCATACGCTCGCTCTCCCCAACCCCCACACCTCCGCCCCTCCCCCCACCGCAGCCGGGCGGCCATCCCCCCCCACCCCTCCCCCTTCTGGCCGCAAGAAGGTCCCTCTCCATCCCTTTCTTGGCAGCCGATGTGCCTGATTACTCATCTGCTTCCAGGGGGCTGGCGAGAGTGGGGGGTGGGGCTGGGGGTGGGCCGGCAGCCCGCCAAGCCCTGCAAGGACTGTGTGGTGGAGGGAAAGTGGGATGGCTGTAAGGACCAGCCCCGCAGGGCTCCCCACCATTTAAGGAGCCGCTGTCGGGAGGAAGGGCTCCGTGTCAGCTGCTGCCGCGGACCCAGAGAGGAGAAGGAGGTTCGGAGGCGGCTGGGGAGCCGCTGACAAGCAGGCCCGGCTGGACGGATGGGCAGCAACTCAGTGGCCGCTGACCCCAAACAGATGGAGCGGCCAGAGGCGCCAAGTCCCAGGACAAGTCCCAGAACGGCTGTTTTCTTCTCCCTCACTTCCTGCCATGCACCGTGCTGGGGATGGCTAAGGCCCTGCAGCTCTCTCTCTCTCTCTCTCTCTCTCTCTCACTCTCTCACTTGCTCTCTCTTGCCCTCTCTTTCGCTCTCTTGCTCTCACTCGCTCTTGCTTTCTTGCTGTCTCTGTCTCTCGCTCTCTCTCGCTCTGTCTCTGTCTCTCACTCTCTCTCTGTCTCTCGCTCTCTGTCTCTCTCATTCTCTCTCTCTCTCTTGCTCTCTGTCTCTCCCTCACAACACACACACACACACACACACACACACACACACACACACACACGTGGGCCTGCAAGGGAACCCCCGGAGGTCTTGAGGCAAAGCCTTGGTAGCCCCAGGCACCAAGTTCAGCAAGGCCCGGGAGGTCACTAACTCCCAGCCTCCGGGCTTTCTTCCAATCCACAGGCACCTGCGTTCTGCCCCGGGTTCCAGACGGACGTTGGGGTGGGGGAGGGGGCGGGGGAAGCACTTACTCATTCTTCTCCAGATCCAAGACCAGCTCCTGGCCCTCGGCCTTCACCCTGAGCTCGGCACGGCGTGGATGCTGAAAGCGACAGACAGGTGGGTCAGCGGCCCCCAGGAAGGGGCAAGAGGGGCTCAGGAAACAGCCACAGCACCCCCCACACACACACACCTCAGAGGACATCTGACCCGAGGACCCGCTTCTCTCCCTCCCCCAAGGAGGGGGGTGTTGTTGGAGGGACTCTTACACATGAAGCACGGAGATGGGAAAATTGTCTCCCCGCCCAGCGGTGCCTGAGCAGTCAAATCTGGACCCCAGCTGTGAGACACCCCCCCAGGGTATGTTCCCCCCACCCCTCCCCCGCCCAGCCTGGGTTCGGAGTCCTGGGATATCGTGGGGGAGATGCCTGTGGAGAAGAAGCGTGGAGAAGGCAAGCCAGCGCCACGCACAAGCCGGCTCCGGGTCCCAAACCCAGGGGAAGCCTCTTTGCTGAGGGGTCTTAGGGGTTTCTTGGGTCTCTCAGTTTGGATGTGCCCAATCATCACAGGGACCCCTGCTAGAAGCAGCCCCAGCTGGGGATTTACAGCTCCCCAAACAGACGCAGAGACAGACAAACATGCACACACACACACACACACACACACACACACACACACACCAGGAAAAAAAAACTGCCTGAAGTCCCAAGCAGCCCTGTAGCCCAGATCACTGAAGATAACCTATCTGTCAACATAAAGAAAAACCTGCACTCCCTTGCAACAATAACAACACAAATTCTTTGAAATAAGATTCCTTACCCGCCCCCCACCACCACCTCTACCACCGACACCAACACCACCAAACCAAACAACAACAAAATATAAGAAGAAGAATCATGCCACAAGAACTTTTAAAACCTCAGTCCGCTATGCAGGGGAACATGTTGGGAAATAGACACACTCACGCTTCCCCACTGAGAAAGTGATCTGAAGGTGTGCAGGAGAGTTTAGAAGTTATGCATGGGGCTGGAGCAATAACACAGCTGGTAGGGTGTTTGCCTTGCACGCGGCCGACACGGGTTCGATTCCCAGCATCCCATATGGTCTCCCAAGCACTGCCAGGAGTGATTCCTGAGTGCAAAGCCAGGAGTAACCCCTGAGCATCAGCTGGGTGTGACCCAAAAGCAAAAAAAAAAAAAAAAGTTATGCAGACCCGCCCAGGCCAGTAAAATTAGACCCTGTAAGGAGCAAATGGGAAGCACGAGGGGTGGGTGGGCATTCTGTGTAAGAGGATGCACATTTCTTGCAAATATGAGTGAAGGAATATAACCTAAATGCTCAAACTCAAGAGGTCAGAACCATCAACCCCACACATACACACACCCTGCCCCTCCCCCAGGCAATCATGAAAACAATGAATTAACTTATCAATTTTTTTTTGCAAAACTGTTAAACAAAAAGGCTCAATACATAAAAGGATCACTCCTGGTGGGGGGAGGGGACCACATGGGGTGCCAGGGGTTCAATTTGAGTGTGTCAGGCAAATGCCTTGCTTGCTCAGACCCGATAATGTACATGATATTAATTTTGTTTTTGAGCCATACCCAGCGGTGCTCAGGGGTTACCTCTGGTTCTGTGCTCAGGGGAATCTATGCCAGGGATAGAACCTGGATCAGCCACATGCAAGGCAAATGCTCTACGCCCTGTCCTATGGCTCTGGCCATTGGACATTTTAATGTACTTTTTTTGTTTGGGGCCACACTAGGTCATGCTCAGGGGTTACCCCTGGTGGGGGTTAAGGGACCCTGAAAGGGCCTCCAATCATTGGGAAAGATGAGTAAGGAGAGGCTGAGAAACCCTCAGGCTGGGAAGAAAAGAGACATCATTGGTGCCTGCTCGAGTAAATCGAAGAACAAAGGGATGACAGTGACAGTGACAGTGATGCTTTTTTTTTGGAGGAGGTCACACCCGGTGATGCACAGAGGTTACTCCTGGCTCTGCACTCAGGAATTACTCCTGGCGGTGCTCTGGGGATCCCATGAGATGATGAAAATCAAACCCGGGTCGGCCGTGTACAAGGCAAACATCCTCCTTGCTGTGCTATTGCTCCAGCCCCTCTAATTTTTTTTTAAACCTTCTTGGTGTGAGAAACTGCAAGGAGATTAAAAATGCAAATCTTCCCCAACTCTCATGCTTCCGCCAGGCAATGTGGGGCGGCTGACTTGGTTTTTCTGAAGGAAGGTCTGAGGCTCTAAGACAGGGTATTTCCACACTGAAAATATTCAAAGCAGGGAGGTTCAGCAGCCCCGGCCTTCTGGTGGGGCCCGAGGTTTTGAGAGATTCTCTGGGGGCCCTTTCTTTCTTCCTTCCTTTCTTTCTTTCTTTCTTTCTTTCTCTCTCTCTTTCTTTCTTTTCTTCTTCCTTCCTTTCATTCTTTCTTTCTCTTTCCTTCCTTTTTTCTTTTCTTTCTTTTTCTTTTTCTTTTTCTTTCTCCTTCCTTCCTTTTTCCTTCCTTCCTTCCTTCCTTCCTTCCTTCCTTTTTCTTTCTCTTTTCTCCCTCTTTCTCATTCTTTCTTTCTTTCTCTTTCTTTCTACTTCCTTTCTTTCTTCTTTCCTTCTTCCTTTCTTTCCTTTCCTTCTTTCTTTCCTTTCTTCCTTCCTTTTCATTCTTTCTTTCTCTGTTTTTCTTCTTCTTTCTTCCTTCCTTCCTTCCTTCCTTCCTTCCTTCCTCCTTCCTTCCTTCTTTTCTCCCTCCCTCCCTGCCTCCCTCCCTTCGTTCCTTCCTTCCTTCCTTCCTTCCTCCCTCCCTTCGTTCCTTCCTTCCTTCCTTCCTTCCTCCCTCCCTCCCTCCCTCCCTCCCTCCCTCCCTGCCTTCCTTCCTGCCTTCCTTCCTTCCTTCCTTTCTTCTTTTTTTTTGCTTATTGGGTCACACCGGCGATGCTCAGGGGTTACTCCTGGCTCAGGCGATGCTCAGGGGTTACTCCTGGCTCAGGCGATGCTCAGGGGTTACTCCTGGCTCATGCATTCAGGAATTACTCCTAGCTGTCTCTGAGGGGACCCTATGGGATGCTGGAGATCCAACCCCAGTTGGTCGCACACAAGGCAAACGCCCTACCCACTGTGCTATCGCTCCAGCCCCACTGGGGGTCCCTTTCGGTTCTCAGACTCCGCATTGGAACCAAGCTTCAGACCCACCTCCAGCTTGACCTCTGAGCCAGGTTAGGCCGGGGGGGGGGGGGGGGGGGGGGGGGACACATGCTCTGAGGGAGAAGGTTCCCGGCTCAGCCCGCCCCTCCCCCCCCCCCCCCCCCCCCCGCATGGCAGCCTCTGCCAAGCAAACTCTACTCCCCCATGCGCCACTTCACTCTGAACCCCAGTTCCAGTCAGGGTGCTGTCAGGCAGCCCAGGGGTGGGGGTAGGGGTGGGGAGAGCTGGATGTCCCTGCCCCGGATTCTTGGGCAACTCTGTCCTTTGCTATCTTTGGCTAATTTATCCCCTCTACTTCTCTTTACCAAAAAAAAAAAAAGAGAGAGAGAGAGAGAGAGAGAACATTTTTTAAAACGCTGTTTGCCTGCATTTGGCAAGCGGAAGTTTGCCCAACAACTTTCACTGCGGGGTTCACTTCTGTTTCGGATGCCCAGTTCAGCTCGGCCATCGCCACCTGCTTTTGCCCCTTGGTCCCCTGTCACCTACTCTAGCACAGGTCCACAGTGAAGGCTCTGCCAAGGACTGTGAGCACCAAAGCCTCGGTCCCAGGTGAGGAGGGGGCGGGGGTGGGGAGCAATTCCCTCCTCCAAGACAGGAATGACATTCTGGGGGCCGGGTAAATAATAATCATGGTCACGGTCACGGTCCTCCCGTTCTTAATAGATTTGCTCGAGCGGGCACCAGTAACGTCTCCATTGTGAGACTTGTTACTGTGTTTGGCATATCGAATACACCACGGGTAGCTTGCCAGGCTCTGCCGTGTGGGCGAGATACTCTCGGTAGCTTTCCAGACTCTCCGAGAGGGGTGGAGGAATCGAACCCGGGTCAGCCGCGTGCAAGGCAAATGTCTAATAATATAATAATAATAATAATTGTAATTGTAATAATAATAATAAAGTGAAGTTGGCTGGAATCAAAGCACGGTCACCTCTGCCGCGCGAGGACACACAGGCTTGGCCATGGCGATTCATATTTATTTTTACGTGTGTCTTCCAAAAATATTCCCTCCCCCAGCCTGGAAGATGCTCAGACACCGATATTTGATATTTTAAACAACGGTGTTGCCAGCTCCCAGAGGACACGTCAAGTCAAACATGAGTTAGCACTGCTGGGGCCAGCGGGCTCCCATCCACCTTTGCCCAGTGGCTTATTATCTTTCCTTATAGCCCTGAGAGAAGGTTGGAAACGGTTGGAAAAGGTTGGAAGCTGACCCAATGCCCCCACATCCCCCCCCCCAGGCATGGGCTAAAACCCCCTTTCGATTTGGGGCTGGATGAAAGACACCTTCAGCGCAGACGGTTCTGGAAATCCTCCCCCCTTTCCTCTGGGTGGACATAATATCGCATCTTCAGCGAAGATTCAAGAACGTGAGATGGATGAGTGAATAATACAGCTGGAGTGGGACCCACCCCCAAACCCCTCCCCTCCACACTCCAACCCTGTCTCTACTTGCTCTCAGATAGCCTTTCATCACTGGTGGAGGGATGGGTACTCGATCATCGTATAATTGAAACCCAAGCACAAAAATTTATAAGTCTACAACTGTACCTCGTAGCGTTTCACTAATAAAAATTTTTTAAAAAATGGAGCAAACCCCCCCCAAAAAAAACAAATAGCCTTTCATTTTTTTTTGTCACACCCAGCAGTGCTCAGGGCTTCCTCCTGGCAGGGTTCGGGAGACCCTCTGGGTTGCTAGGGGTTGGCCACGTGTAAAGCAAGCGCCCTCCCCGCTGTGCTATGACTCCCTCCCCCCAGCCCCCCTCCCTCCGGCACCCACCAGTCATTCACTCTTTCATTCACCAAACAGTTCTGGTGCCAGATACTGCGCCAAGCCACTGCCAAACACCACGACCGACTGACCGACCGTCTGCTGGGCAGACGGCGGCGGGGAACAAAGGCAGGATCTGGAGGGCCATTTGTTTCTCGGGCCTTTCCTGAGGATGCAATGCACCCCCCACATCTGGAGCGGACAGAGCCGCCTCTATAAAAAGGCCCAGAGCCACAGCGCAGGGGGCCGGGGGAGAGGATGGACCGGCCTGAGCTCTGCTTTTAAAAATAACCCGCCAGAGTATGGCGTTCCATTCATCTGTCTAGACTTCCTGGAGTTATTTACTGCCCCTCCTGCTTTCTGATGGATCGAGTTCCGGGCCTGGGCCGTCATCCCTGGGATCTTGGGTGAACTTTTCTTTTGTCTTTTTCTCATTTCTCACTGCTCTTTCTTTCTTTCTTTCTTTCTTTCTTTCTTTCTTTCGCTTTTTTGGTCACAACCGGTGAAGTACAGGGGTTACTCCTGGCTCTGCACTCAGGAATTACTCCCGGAGGTGCTCTGGGGACCCTATGGGATACTGGGAATTGGACCTGGGTCGGCCAGCTGCAAGGCAAATGCCCTCCCTGTGCTATCGGTCCAGGCCCATTTCTCACTGTTCTTGACTGAAAAGAAAAACAAAACAAAAAACCCTGTGGGGTGCTGCTGACTGGTCCTCACCGGGGCTGCTAGAAATGCCAGGTTATTTCTCTGCAATCACAGCTCCAGACTCCCCAAACACACACAGGTCTGGAAGCCCACGGAGACGTCTGCTCTTCGGGGCGGCCAGCTGAGTGTCTGAGTGTCTGGTCGGAACCCCAGGGCCCTGGTCTAGAGAGACCTGCGCTGCAGCCCTCTTTCTTCTTCCTCCCGCTCAGCCCGTCTTAGAAGCCTTTTTCATCTGTTTTCGTTGGAGGAGAGGACCAGGCCACTCTCCAGGCCACACCCGTGGTGCTCAGGGCTTACTCCTGATTCTGTGCTCGGGGTCACTTTGGGTGGTGCGCCAGGGACCCTATTGGGATGCCAGGGATTGAACTGGGTTGGCCACATGCAGGGCAAGAGCTTTAACGGGTGACTCACCCTCGTCCCCACCCACCCACACTGTGCTATCTTTCTGGCTCATCAGCCCCAAGTCCGTTCACAGATGAGGAACCCCAAGTCCGTTCCCAAGCTGTGGCCTCACACCCAGTCCTCGGTCCTTCCTTCCTGGCTCTCTCGTGTCCCTTTAGAACTAGGAGGACCAGGAGCATAAAGACACGTGTCCTTGTAGCCCAGGACCCCTGGGAGATGGCTGGATCTTTTTTTTTTTTTTGGTCTCTTTTGGGACACAGATACACACACACACACACACACACACACACACACACACACACACACACACAGAGAGCAGTGTTTAGGGTTTCCTCCTGGCTCTGCGCAGAAGGATCACTCCTGGCGGTGCTTGGGGACCTCTTCTGGGATGCCGGGGACTGAACACAGGTGGGCTGCATGCAAGGCATATTGCTCTGGCCCTCAGCCTCATCTCAAATCCCTTCCTGCCTCCAGTTCAAAGCCAGCCCCAGGGCCAGCCAACGGCTCCCCCAGAACGTTCTCTCGGGCAGCGCCGAGCAGACAGGTGGCAACAGCTGCAGTGGCCTAAGTGTCTGGGTCTGTGCTCAGTCGCCCTGGCATGTGGGCGGATTTCCTTCCCTTGAATGGGCATAAGTGTCTGTCACCGAGGGATGGCGCAGCCCTAAGGGTGTGTGTGTCTGTGTGTGGTAGGGAGTTTCCCAAACCAGAACAGAGAGGGCAGGGGAGGCCAGACACACATCTCCCTCTCCTCACCCCACCAAAGGAAAGGAGGTGGTTCTCAGGTGGGGGTGCAGGGGTTGTCTCATACTTCACAGGAGGATGCCCACGGCTCCCATTCTGAGACAGACCAAGGGATGCCTAATCTTACCTTCTCTCTCACAAGGCCCTCGGGCTCCACAGGCGTCCACTGAGGTATGACCAGCTCGTGCCGCCGGTGCAGGGTTCCTCCTTCCTCACTTCCTCCTGCGGGGACGAGAGTGCAGAGGCTGCAAGGCGGCATCCCAGACCCCCTGATCCTGGGACCACCCAACCCATCCCGAAGGAATAACTGGGGGACCAGGCCAATGAGGGCTCCCTAAAAGCCCTCTGCAAGTCGCCTTCCTGGGATCTGGGAGGTGGACAAGAAGACGCCAAGGGGCTGAAGAGATAGCACAGCGGGGAGGGTGTTTGCCTTAAGCCTGACTGACCTGGGTTCGATTCCCAGCATCCCATAGGGTTCCCCGAGGACCGCCAGGAGTCATTCCTGAGTGCATGAGCCAGGAGGAACCGCTGAGCATCACTGGGTGTGACCCCCCCACCAAAAAAAAGATGCCAGGACCGGCCAAGGGATGCAAAAGAGATGGGGAATAAGGGCTGGTTGGGAGTGTGTGAACCAAGGGGGTATTAATGGAGACCTGCGAAGGACAGGGGCAGTGGGGGGCCAGCGATGGCCCTTCCTGAGGGGTGCGGGTGGCAGAGGCCGGGCTGGGTGTTTGGGTTTTATTAGAAGAGCACGTGGAGGGCTGAGCCCCAGCGCTATGCAATCCGGTTGTCTTTTTTTTTTTCTTTTTGGGTCACACCAGTGATGCACAGGGGTTCTTCCTGGTTCTGCACTCAGGAATTACTCCTGGCAGTGCCTGGGGGACCCTATGGGATGCTGGGAATAGAACCTGGGTTGGCCTGTAAGGCAAACACCTTCCCTGCTGTACACTATCACTCCAGCCCCCCCACCCCACTGCCTTGTCTTTTCTGTTTTGTTTGGGGTGATGCTTGGGGCTTATTCCTGCCTCTGAAGTCAGGGATCACTCCTGATGGCACTCAGGAGAATCGAACCTGGGTTAGCTGCACACAAGGCAAGCGTCCTGGCCGTCATGCTATGGCTCCAAGGTCCGGGGGTGTGTGTGTGTGTGTGTGTGTCTTTATTTATTTTGCTTTTTGGGTCACACCCAGCAATGCACAGGGGTTATTTCTGGCTCTACACTCAGGAATGACTCCTGGCGGTGCTCAGGGGACCCTATGGGATGCTGGGAATCGAACCCAAGTCAGCCGCATGCAAGGCAAAGGCCCTCCCCGCTGTGCTACTGCTCCAGCTCTGGGGTCTGTCTTTTACCCACCAGGATGCTGCTCCGTTTGAAGCTGGGGTGGGGGGGGCAGAGTGGGAGCAGGAAGGCAGATGGGGTGGGGAGAGGGAGAGAGAGAGAGGGGGAGAGAGAGAGAGAGAGAGAGAGAGAATGGGCTCCAGCGAGAATGACATCAGGGGAGAGGAATGAAGGGTGGGGGGGCTCTGGGTCTACCCTGGACGTCCAGCCCTGGGTATTGTTCCCACCGAGTGAAGACAATGGCCCTGCTGCCCATCTCCGGGATGACTGGAGCCTCCAAGCCAGCCAGCATCCCGCCCTCTCCTCCCAGCTGCCCCCCACCCCCCACAGGGTACCTCCTCCTCCTCCTCCTCTGACTCCATCACCCAGCTCTCCCTTCCCCAGTCCTGCAGACAAACTGGAGGCAGGGGTCTGGGCCCTGGGGCATCCCCAGGGGCAATGGAGGGCTCTTTTGGAGGCCTTTGCTGCGGTCAGCCCCACACACACAAAACAGGCTGTGGACCAGGACAAGCCAAACTCACGGGACCGCCCTGGGATGGAGCTCTGTAGAGGCCCCAGCGCTTCTGTCTCCCAGAACTATGACCTCCGGGATGGCCAAGTCCTGTCAGAGCAGTGAGGACAAACCCTGTCTGAGGACACTAATTTCCCTTTCAGATCAATGACAGTCTGCAAAACACCTCCTGGGGGGGGCCAGTCCAGCCTTCAGCTCAGGCCTCCAGGGCGGCGCCACCCCTCAGGCTAATAGGAGCTTCTCCCCGCCCCCCACCCTATGGTCAGGCAAGGGCCCAGCTCTGGAGAATGGGATTCCTTTAGAGTCTTTGCAAAAAAAAAAAAAAAAACTCTGCAAAATGTTTTCTTTTTACAATCTTTGCAATGGACTTTCTTTTTTTTCAAAAGCAAAAAGCTTGTGGTATTTCATAGACTACTTAAAGAGATACAATGAGTTTGATGACGGCAGAAGACAGCAAGCCAGCCAGCCTCAACAATAGGAAAGGGAGAGGGAGGGGAGTCGTTGAAAGGGGGTTTCCCTCAGGGAAACCAACTTTTTTTTGAGGGGACTGTGTATCCCGGTGCAGCCTGCAGCTGGGCTGAGTTGCAAGCATGCATGCAGGTTTCTGGCTGACAGAGGTGCCAATGATTCTACAGTGCAAAAAAAAGGTTAGCTAAGATTTTAGGGTCCCCGGGGCTCTTGGGCCAGTGCCCACTTTTCAACAACCCCCTCCTCCCTAGAGCCTCAGCCCTTCCAATGCTCTCCGCCTTGGGCAGCACTGTCTTACCCAGAGCCAAAAAACCCAACAGGCTCCGGGCCACCCATTCATCCTGGCCTTTACTGGTTAACGGTCTTCATTGATAGAAAAAAAAAAATGTGTTTAAATAAAAATAGGTTACAAACCCGACTTGGGAGGATTGAGGGAGGGTAACCTATTCATAGATTTTTACCTTCATCTCTTGGGAGAAGGGAAAAAGAGGGAGGAGGGGGCCACCAGGTGAATGAAGTGGGAAACGGGAGTCCCCGAAGGCCACCCCGGCTCCACGGGGGCGCATCGTGGGAACACACATGCATGCGCGCGCACACACACACATATGCACACGCATGCACGCGCACACACAAAGCCTGGAGGGCCCCGGGCAGCCGCTGGAAGAGAGAAAGGAGAAGGGGAAAGCCCAGCCCAGCCCTGTCCCTGCCCTGCCCAGCCCAGCCCGGCCCGACCCGACCCGGCCTGACCGAGCCCCGGGAGCCCCGGCTGCAAATCAAACGGCGCCTCCGCCGCCTCCCTCCCTCCCGGGGCGCGCGCCGTGGGAAAACGGAGCTCGGGTGGGGCGGGGGTGGGGGAGCTGAGGGCAAGGGGGGCGCCTTCCCACAGATCCACAACGACCCCCTCCAACACCCTGGCCTCCCCTAGCTCCGTTCCCCGCCGTCCCCAGTTCCCCGGTTGCCACTTACGGGCCATCCAGCCGGGCAGCGCCAGCGCCAGCAGGCAGAGGCGCGCGGCGCCCACGGCCGCGCCGGGCATGCTGCAGCGGCCCCTCGTGCTCGCGGCCACGCCAGCCCCGCGGCCGCCCACCCTCTGCTCGGCCCGCGCCGCCGGGCCCGGTTTTCAGCCATCGACCGCCAACGCCCCGCCCTCCGCTCCGCCGGGGATCGGCCGCCGCGAGGAGGGGCTGGGGAGGGGGCGGAGCCCGAGGGACCCCCCCCCCTTCCACTCGCCACCCACCCCCCGTCGGGGGAAACCGCCCACCCCCCGGGGGGCCGGCCCAGGTGCCCCGTCGGCGTCCGGGACGCTCCGCGGATTCGCGAGGGCGCGGCCCAGGCGGGGCCTGCCGGAGGGAGGTGGGGCGAGGGGGTGGTGGTGGAAGGGTCAGGGCTAGCTGGGGGGTGGGGGGTGGTGTCCAAACGCTCCCCCCCCTCCTCACCTCTCCCCTGCCCCCACCCATCCCTGCCCCTCTGCGCGCAGCAGCCCGGGGAGGGCCGTCTCTGGCGTGCACTCAGGGCTCGGAAGCGTTTGAATGACCCTCAGGCCACTCGCTTTAGCTGGGCCTCCCGGGAGATTGGACCCTCCGCCCCCCCCCCACCCCCACCTTCCCTTCTTCGTCCCCTAAAGAGTTAAGGCCGGCGGCAGGCACAAAGAGCTAAGTGCTCTGGCGTGGTTTTCTGGGAGCCGGGAGGTGGCGGAGGGGGGTGGTGGTATGGAGCGGGCGTCCCAGAGGAAAAGACATTTGAAGCGAGGAGGAGGAGGAGAAGGAGGAGGAGGAGGAGGGGGAGGAGGAGGAGGAGGAAGGCAGCTCAGGCTCAGGCTGTCGGGGAAACGGGCCAGCAACCTATAGGGCCGGATGTGGGATGGTTCGGAGCCCGGGTTGGGAGGGAGGAGGAAAAAAAGGAAAAAAAAGGAGGGAGCCCTGAGCTGCGTTCATAATCAGGGCGCTCACTTCAAGAGAGATTTTTTTTTCCTTCCAAGAAAAGAAGGGTAACAAAAGGCCGGTGGTCCGGCAGTAAATTAAGCCCTCGCAAGTCCTGAGGGTTTCAGTCCAACTCACTCCATCCAGGGAAAGTGTGACCTGCCCTTTGGTTACTGTCCCCCCTGGGTAAGTGCCACCTACCCTGTGAACCCTCCCATCAAGGCTTCTCATCAGCCCCGGATGCCCCCCTCAGACAGGCACGAAGCGTTTCTACTTGGTCCAAGGTCACACGCGCTAGGGCTGCCAGCTTCTGGCTGCCAGCTGAGAGTGTACAGTTGGCAGAGGACAGCCTGTCTTGTCCGCCATGCCCGAGAGAGGGATGATCAGAATGCAGTCCCGGGGCCGGAACCAAGGTCTCCAGGCAAAGGTTTCAGGCAAAGCCACGTTCTGGGAAGCCAGGGTTGAGCCTCTGGGAGTCTGTTTCTTTCTCTGCGCCTCTTCAAATCTCTGCGCAGCTCGATACGGTGCTGGAAGTAGTTGAGGGTCGTGGGCATGGGGGAGATGATGGGCAGGTGGGTGTGCTAGAACTACTACGGGGCACCCAGCATCCGGCACCCGTGGGAGAAATCAAAGGTGACGGCTTTTGATATGGGTGCGTGCATTCAGAGGCTCCAACACAAAATACCACAGAGCAGCTTAAACCTCAGGATACTCTATTTTTTTTAAAGAAGCCAATTTATTTTATTTTATTTTCTTTTTTCGGGTCACACCCAACAATGCTCAAGGGTTACTCCTGGCTTTGCACTCAGGAATTACTCCTGGCGGTGCTTGGGGGACCCTATTGGATGCCGGAGATCGAACCTGGGTCGGCTGCGTGCAAGGCAAACGCCCTCCCCGCTGTGCTATCACTCCGGCCCCAGCCTCAGGATACTCTTTCCCATCATCCCAAAGGATGAAGGTAGCTGGGGTCTGCTTAGGCCTCCCTGTCTGCTTTCTCTCGGGTCTAACTGATTCTCTAGGGAGTTGAGATTTCTGTGCTCTTCCTGTTCTCACAAGGACACACCTCATTGGGTGGTACCCCACCCTTTGAACCTCATTTAACCTGTGCTACCTTTTTTTAAAAAATATTATTTGTTTGGGAGCCACACCCAGTGGTGGGCAGGACTTACTCCTGGCTCTGTACTCGGGGGGATCAATTGTGGCAGGGCCCAGGGGTCCACATGGGGTGCTGGGGATCCAAACCAGGTCGGTTGCATGCAAGGCAAGCGCCCTACTCACTGCTGTCCTATGGCCCCGGCCTCTGTATTACCTCTTTTTAAGAGCTTCCTATACCGTTATACTGGGGGAGGGTTTCAGAAAGGAAGTGGGGGAACTGTACAAGAGGGTTCAGCTGCTAGCATCCTTTGACCCACCCACATGTCTGTCCTTCTCACATGCCAACTACATGCAGCCGCGCGTACCTGCTTAAACAGGTACGGTTTCTATTCCCATTTCAAAGTCTCAGCCGTTATCCAAATCAGATATCCCTGAGACATGTCCTGGGGGAATGCCTCTCCACCTATGAAGTCTTCTGCTTCTAAAACACAGGTACACAGCAGAGATGCCATCTGTCCAAGAGTCTGGAGAAGGAGCAAAGAAGAAAGGGGTGAGAGATTCCAAGCAAGTCTCAGATCTAGCGAGGACGACGGGACGCCCTCTGAGAGCCAGAGATCAAGTGCTTGAGCTAATGCTTCCGCCTCACCTCTGGGGGCAGAAAACCTGCTCTGGAGCCAGACTCCCTGAACCAAGAGGAAGGCTTCACCCTCTTGGCACCAAGCGGCCAGACTTGCCCCCCCTGGGCTGGCACAGTCCACGCCCGGAATGACGTGGGTCCTTCAGACGGTTTCCGCATCTCCGGAAGAACCACTCACCCCTTTTCTCAAAGCATTAGCTCATATTCGTGCTTTTCTTCCGTGTTGGTTTCTGTTTGGTGATGTCTGGGGGCCACACTCGGCGATGCTCAGGGCTGACTACTGGCCCTGCGCTCAGGAATTCCTCTTGGCGGTACTCAGGGGGCCCTGTGGGTGCCGGGAATCGAACCTGGATGGGCCGCGTGCGAGGCAAGAGCCCTAACCCACTGCGCTCTCTCCAGCCCTGAGTACGTTTGCACTTGACCCAGGAAATCCGTGCGATAGTCGATCAGGAGTGTGACTGTCCTGTCCTGCAGATCTGCAGGGACCCAAAAGTCTTCCTGTACTCCGTGCTCTGGTGCCTCCGTGGTCCAGGCAGACAGCTCGACAGATTCACCCGTGTTTCTCTTCCTAGCTTCTGCTGAAGCGGCAGGTGAACCACTCGGGCCCTCTCTTTCCTAACACAGAAAATGACCACATCCCTGGTATTCTCTCAAGAACATGAGTCTTGGGGCTGGAGCAATAGCACAGCGGGTAGGGCGTTTGCCTTGCACGTGGCCGACCCGGGTTCAATTCCCAGCATCCCATAGGGTCCCCTGAGCACCGCCAGGAGTCATTCCTGAGCGCAGAGCCAGGAGTAACCCCTGTGCATCGCCGGGTGTGACCCAGCAAGAAAAAAAAAAAAGAACATGCGTCTTTTTTTTCCCACATCAGAGAGAGGCTCAGAATTTTCTAGACCTTTGAGCTCTTCTGGCATTTTACAAAGCGGCAAATGGAGGGAAAATGGGCCACAGGGTCCATGTTCTGGAAAATCTCTAACTCTCAGCTAACTCTCAGGGTCCTCACTGCCACATGGACTTTATATGGAACAGAGAATTCAAAGACACCGACACACTTGTAACAGGGACCGATGAGTTTTTTTAGCCACTTTGTAACAGGGACCTGCCTCTTTGAACAGGGACCCGCCTCTCTTGCAACTTCTGGTGACACAGGCCACGGCTTCATCTGCGACCCCAAGGGGCTCTCCCTCGGCCCTTCTGTTTCCTCCAAAACCACAAAAGGTCCTCCAGGCCTTCCTGAAACCAACAGTTGCTGCTTCACCAGCTTCTCTCTTAAGCCACAGGGCTGCTTTTGGAGTCCACCCCAGCTTTTCCGAGCACTCACCTTAAAGGCTGTGCAGCCTTTGCCTGTTTCCCTGTTCTACTGCCCCAGCCTTGAGCCATAGTCTAGCGGGGAGAGTGCTTGCCTTACACACTGCTGACCTGAGTTCGAACCCCGGCATCCCAAATGGTTGTCTGACCTCTGCCAGGAGTTCAGAGCCAGGAGGAAGCCCTGAGCACAGCTGGGTGTGGAACAACCCTCCCTCAACCCCCACCCCCCAACACACACACAAAATCAACCCATGTCCATATTTGGGGCATTCAGCTTCAACAGCACCTCCTACTCTCGGTACCCAGATGAGCACCGGGATGCCGCATCAGGGGATGGGCTGTTGAGTCTTTATTTCTCACAGTTCAAGAAGCAGAAAGTTCAAAATCAAGATGCTTGTCTGGCTGGTTTCTGGAGAGACCTCTCTTCCCGGGGGGGGGGGGGGGGGGTACCCTTGCAACCCCGGGAACAGCTCGCCAAAGAACCAGTCCAGGGGTTCTTACACTGACCACTGAGAAAAGGAAGCTCCTGATACTAGCTCTCCTCTAGCTCTGGACACACTTAACACAGGAGTCAACACACGTACGCACGCATGCATGATGCACGCACGCACACACCCACGACTTCCAGGCTGAGCCCTGGAAGGGCCCCCATTGGTTTGTAAATTTAGAAAAATAATAAAAGAACAACTGTGAGGGGGACCCAGTACGCAAAGTCTCGGGGTTCAGACTTTGCGCATGTGAACCCCAGGCTCGACACCCACCACTATGTGTCCTTAGTGACATTGCCCAGAGTGACCTCCAGGACCTCAAGAAGGGACACATGTGCCCCCAGCCCCGTCCCCCGCAAGCATGGAGCCAGGAGTGGTCCTCCCCATCCTAGTGTTCCTGCCCCGCCACATAGTCTTAAAGTAAGAAGCAACCAATACACACAACTGTGGCCTGGAGGGTTCCTGGTGCTAGTGAGGGAACCAGAAACAGCCTCAAGCAATAAATAGTTCTGGCAAATCCATGAGATGGATTGTGAGGCAGCCTTCTAAAGCACATGGACTAATGATTTACTTGTCTCTTTTTTCCTCCTCTTCTTCTTTTTGGTCACATCCAGCAATGTTCGGGGTTACTCCTGGCTCTGCACTCAGGAATTATTCCTGACGGTGCTTGGGGAACCATATGGGACGCCGGGATTGAACCTAGGTCGGCCACATGTAAGGCAAACGCCCTGCCTGCTGTCCTATCACTCCAGCTCCGGATTA